AAATAGTCACAGAGCCCCCTCAGATTCAAGGGGAAAAAGACAAACCTCATTCTTCAGTGGGGACTAGCAGAGATTTTATGGCCATCTTTTACCTACCACAGGAGGTTACTGGTAACTAAATAAATGAACAAAAATATGCAAAATGTACTATGTAATACAAATAAAATTAAACTATGTGGCCATGTACACTGCAATAACCTTTGACTAACCCAGCAATTCCCATCTGAATGAACACCAAATATGAAAGATTTTTAATAACTCAAGCAAGCTAATATGAACTCAAGATGCTACTTGCCAAGTTTTCATATTTGTTTTGACTCTCCTATTATATGTATTTTTTCTTAACTTTGAAATGCTTATTTACTTATGAAACCTACTTCTCATTTGCACATTACATCAATCCACTGAATGTTGTGTCCTCCCCAAATTCACATGTTGAACCCCTAACCCCCAGTGCAATGGTATTTGAAGGTGGGGCCTTTGGAAGGCAATTAGATTTAGATGAGGTCATGTCATGTATTAGTTCGTTTCTATTGTTTGTAACAAAATACACAGAACTGGGTATTTTATAAAGAAAACAAAATTTATTGCTTACAGTTCCTGAGGCTGGGAAGTCCAGGGAACACAGCTTTGGACGTTCTTGATGGTGGTGACAGTGATGGCAGAGTATCTCATTGTGAAAATGGCAGGGCAGAGAGACTAACCTCCTCCTTCACCCCCCTTTTAAAGCCCTCCAAATCATGTCCATGACCACCATTTTTTATACATTCAGTACAGCATGGTCCTATAATTTAATTACCTCTTCAAGGCCCCACCTTTCAATTACCATAATANTGCAATAACCTTTGGCTAACCCAGCAATTCCCATCTGAATGAACACCAAATATGAAAGATTTTTAATAACTCAAGCAAGCTAATATGAATTCAAGATGCTACTTGCCAAGTTTTCATATTTGTTTTGACTCTCCTTGTATATGTATTTTTTCTTAACTTTGAAATGCTTATTTACTTATGAAACCTACTTCTCATTTGCATGTTACATTAATACACTGAATGTTGTGTCCTCCCCAAATTCACATGTTGAGCCCCTAACCCCCAGTGCAATGGTATTTGAAGGTGGGGCCTTTGGAAGGCAATTAGATTTAGATGAGGTCATGTCATGTATTAGTTCGTTTCTATTGTTTGTAACAAAAAACACAGAACTGGGTATTTTATAAAGAAAACAAAATTAATTGCTTACAGTTCCTGAGGCTGGGAAGTCCAGGGAACACAGCTTTGGAAGTTCATGATGGTGGTGACAGTGATGGCAGAGTATCTTATTGTGAAAATGGCAGAGCAGAGAGACTGACCTCCTCCTTCACTCCCCTTTTAAAGCCCTCCAAATCATGTCCATGACCACCATTTTTAATACATCCACTACAGCATGGTCCTATAATTTAATTAACTCTGCAAGGCCCCACCTTTCAATTACCATAATAGGATTTCCCACTCTCAACAGTTACAGTGGGGATCAAGTTTTGGGGGGCATTCGACCCAAGGTATTCTACCCCTGACCCCCAAAACTCATGTCCTTTTCACAAACAAATACATTCATTCCATCCCCAAAGTCTTCACTTGTTTTAACTCAAAAGCCCAAAGTTCAAAGTCCCATCTGTGAAATCAATACAAGTTATCTACTTCCAAGATAAAGCATAGGGTACATATTCCCATTCAAAAAGGGAGAAATAGGCAAAAGAAAGGGGTAACAGGTCCCAAACAAGTCTGAAACCCAGCAGGGCAAGCATTAAATCTCAGAGCTGGTGAATCATGTACCTTGACTCCATGTTTGACCTTCTCTGTACACTGGTATGGGGGTTGGGTCCCCAAGTCCTCGGGTAGCTTTGCTTCTGTGGCTTTCCCAGTCTGAGTCCACGCTTCAGCTCTCTCAGGCTGGCACTGCATGCCGATAGCTCAACAATTCTGGGGGCTCCATGGCAGTCCTGCCTCCATGGCTCCAACAGGCAAGGCTTTGGTGGGGTTTTTCTGCAGCAAATCTGACTCCACATTGCCTCTTGGCATCGCTCTAGCAAAGGCTGTCTGCAGTGAATCCACCCCTGCAATAGATCTCTTCCAGCGCCCATAGGCTTTTCCATACATCCTTTTGAAATCTGAGTGGAGGCTTCCAAGCCTTCCCAGCTCTGGCATCATACAAGCCTGCAGACCTAACACCAGGTGGATACTGCCAAGGCTTCTGGCTTGTGTTTTCCAAAGCTGCGAGTGCAGCCACACATGAGGCCAATTTAGCCATGGCTGGAGCAGCCAAAGCAGCTGGGGTGCTGGTGTGGGGAGCAGCATCCCAAGGTGGTCCTGGGCAGTGAATCCATGGAGGGCACCTCAGGCCTGTTCCCTGAGACCAATCTGTCTGCCTAGGACTTCGGGCCTATGATGGAAGGGTTGGCCTCAGAGCCTTCTGAAATGCCTTCAGAGCCTCTTCCCCTTCTCTCAATAATCCCTTTCTTTCCTACTAATCTCCTTAGCACCACTGAATCTTTCTTCTGAAAATGCTCTCTGCTTCTCTCACACATGGCCAGGCTGCACATTTTCTGAATCTTTCTGCTCTTCTTCTCTTTCAACTTCTGGCTTTTCCTTGTGCCTTTGCCGCCATAACTCAGCGTAAGCTGTAGCAAGTAACCATGCAGCTTCCTGAGTGCTTTGCTGCTTAGAAGTTTCTTCCACCAAATACCCTGGCTCACAACTCTTAAGTTCCAACTTTCACAAAATCCTAGGGCATGGACACAATGCAGCCAAGTTCCTTTCCAGTTCATAGCAAGGTTGTGCTTTGCTCCAGTTTCCAATAAGTCCCTTTTCATTTACATCAGAGATCTTCTCAGAATTGTCTTTGTTATGGAAATGGACTCAGCAAGGAAGCAGCTGGCACTCAGAGGGTCGGAGACTCAGGTATTTTATTACACTGGCAGGCCCAGAGGAGATAACACTCCAAAATCTGGACCCCGAGTTTAGGTCTTACAAGGTTTATATAGGCAAACTCATCCAGGTTTTAGGTTTTGCTTTCTCAGCATTCATGTGGCTATGTCAGCTGTAAGTTTTGATTTTTCAGAATTTGTGTGGTCTAAGCAAGCTTGGTTACAGAAGCGAAAAAATGCAAGCAGTTGATTAGCAGTCAGACTGATGCAATAAGCAAATATTATTTCAAAGACAAAATATTATTTTAAAGACAAAACAAGCTTATGAGAAAATTATTTTTGAGTTCTTCCCAACACGTTTACTGTCCATATTCCTATCAGCATTTTGGTTACCACCACTTAACCAGCATCTAAGAAGTTACAAATTTTACCTAGTTTTCTTATCTTCTAAACTTTCACCAGCATCTAGGCTTTTTCTAGCCTATTCCTCCAAATTCCTCCAGCTTCTCCTCAACACCCAGTTCCAAAGCAGTTTGCACATTTTCAAGTACTTGTTATAAGCAACACCCAAATCTCTGGTACCAATTTTCTGTGTTAGTCCATTTCTATTGCTTATAACAAAATACACAGAACTGGGTATTTTATAAAGAAAATGAAATTTATTGCTAACAATTTCTAAGGCTAGGAAGTCCAAAGTCCAGGGAACACAGCTGGTGAAAGTCTTGGTGGTGGTGACAGCAATGGCAGGTTATTACATTGTGAAAATGGCAGAGCAGAGAGAGAGAGAGACTGACCTCATCCTTCACTCTCCTTTTAAAGCCCACCAAATCATGCCCATGACCACCATTTTTATTCCATTCTTTACAGCGTGGTCCTACAATCTAATCACCTTTCAATTACCTTAATAGGATTTCCCATCTTCAACAGTGACAGTGGGAATTAAGTTTTGGGGGGACATTCAACCCAAGGCAGGATGGGATTAGTGTCCTTATAAGAAGACAGATCTCACTCTTTTTCCACGCACACACACTAAGGAAAGGCCACATGAGCACATGGGGAGATAAAGCCATCTGCAAGCCAGAAAGAGGGTCCTCAACAAAAACTAAATCTACTAGTATCTTGACCTTATATTTTCCAGCCTACAGTACTGTGAGATGTAAATGTCTGTTGTTTAAACCACCTGTTCCATGGTATTTTGCTATAGCTGCCTGAACTGTGTGTCTTAACACACAGTGCATAAAAATAATTTAATCAACCCAGATTAAATGGCCATAACCAAGAAAAGAAAGGTCAATATATATTAAATTAATGAAGTTCTAGAATAGGAGTATATGCCTGTTGAAAACAAGACCATATACATAGGGTTATTTTTTTTTAGTTCTCTGATTTTCTTAATAAAGAGTTTGTAGTTTTCATCTATAATCAGAAAGGCTAATACAGCTATTTTCATTTGAAATATCAAAAATTGTCTGAAGAAATTTTTGCCTCATTCTTAAGGAAATTGAGGTTACAGTTAACATGACAATAAACAGGTGTATTTGGGGGAGGTCCCCATGCATGCCAAAGTACTATGGAAATTCTCAGAAAACATCCAGAGGCCTTCCATCCAGTTTTCTACTTGACATTGAGCTTTACTGAGTTTGCTCATGCCTCAAAGAAGTAAGTTTATGAGCTCACTTCTCTTCTTAGAAAATGTATATTTAAAATATTGTATTTCCAAAGAGAGGAGAAGAGACAAAATAAACATGAAGTAGTAAAACTATAAAATATTGATGTTTATTTTCTTATTCATTGCCAGTGATGGAATCCCATATATAAGTAATGTTAAGATAATATCTCTGAATTGATTTGTTTCTTCTCCATCAGATCTTTTTTTTTACTTTTATTTTAGAAATGACTGACACCAAGATGTGGCTCTTAAGATTATCATAACATTTTCTTCACTTTCTCTGTTTTTTCAGGAAACAATGCACAGTTTTGTGAGCTGAATTTATATTAAACTTGTTGCACCTCTGTGACTAGAGGTACAGCTATTGAATACCTATTATGCACAAGTACTGTATGCTCCGAAAAACATAAAGATAAACATGGTATGGCCCCTGCCCTCAAATACCTGAAATCTTGCTGGAGCTAATTAATGTGTATAAACAATAGCAAAAGTAGCTAAGTTTAGAAACTGAAGGGGAGGTAGGAGTCAACTCTAGGGCAAAATGCCTGGTGGCACATCAGAACTTGGAGGACGGGGCCGGCCCTGTGGCTCACGTGGAAGAGTGCAGAGCTGGTAGCGCCAAGGCTGCAGGTTCGGGTCCTATATAGGGATGGTCAGTGCACTCATTGGCTGAGCACGGTGCAGACCACAATGAGCCAGGGGCTACGATCCCCTTACCGGTCATACATACATACATACATACATACATACATA